CTTTAGAATGAGTTTGATGAAAAACTTTTTTTCGTCAAAAAATTGAGTTATAATTAAAAAACTCTTTTAAATAATTTCTCTGTGATTATGTGGTTATTCCTACATAATAAATATTCTCATAGATCTATTTAAGCAATTTGCTATTGTTACTTAAAAAGTCTGGAGAACATTTAAAATTGTTCGGTTTTAATATTAAACAGATCTTTTAAGTAACGATAAGAGTTTGTTTGAATATTTTGCATTCAATTTATTGCTTTGAAATTAAAAGATTCTCTTTCGTCCATTATACCGATAAGGAACTTTCTCTTTCGTAACTTCTTTCTGTATTCAGTTAATTCTTTTGTACCACATCTCACTATCGAACCCTTCAATTTGATATTCTTCAACCATTGTTAGCCGATTGTTGGATACCAATCGTGTTGCGCACGCAGGTTGGCAACAGGTAGAAGCAGAAAAGAGACAAAGAATATAAAAAGAAGACAGTATACATGAACAGGCAAACCGCAGGTGCAGCAAAGGGGGAGTTTGACTCTAAAGTCTATAAGGTGGGAGTCAAACCTGACCGGTAGGTTTAGCTTCAGGTTCTGGTCGACGCTCTTCGATCGACAGTCGCTTACAGAAAGTCAATATACTCAGGTGAAACGCGCTACAACATGTGAACATATAGTGTAAATTTTTTTATTCAAGTGTTTTCTTTTTTCGGCATAACGTAAGTGTTTCTACAGTCATTTCAATTATCATAATAACTACATACCCAAGGAACTCGATCATTAACTTATTTCAAGATCAATAGATCATAGAATGAAATTTAAATAACGGGTTCATAAAAAAGTAAAATGGAGCGCAGGCGCAATTTGCGTGAACCAAAAGACTTTCAGCGATCCAAGACGCGTCGATTTAAATTACTAGGTCATTTCTCTACATGCAACTGAAAAAATTTGAATAACAATTATTTATTTAAAAAAAAAGCCTATGAACAGTTTTTAAATAACTCCTCATTATCATCATCAATTTAAAAAAAAAAAAGAAAGAAATGGAAAATAATATTTATTCAAATACTCAAATCCAAGTTGAAAAAATATTTATTTTGCCACTTTGTGTGTCTATATAATTATTTCCGGAATAACCAAGGTCGTTAACGCAAGTTCATAATTTATTTAAATCTCTATCAAAAAAAGAAGATAAATTCTAGAATAAATTTTAATTTATTTTATAAATTTTCTTATCAACAAAAATGAGGAGAATTAATTTGAAATACAACAGACCTTAATCACTGTTGATACTAAAAATTTATCTTCAAAAACATTGAATGGCATCAATCTTTTTCATCAATAATATTCCAAAAAGAAGAAACCCTTATCAACTGGCGCCTGGTAGTCTTTATTTTGCATTCAGAAATAAATAAAAATCCCACAAAATTTTCAGTCACCGATTTGTCTTTCTCAGATTATTCAAACAAACAACGTTATATTTTATAGCAAAGGATAGTTTAATATTTAGCTCAAATGCATTCAAACTGAGTACAATAAGCTACTCAAGAACAATAAAAGACTTGATGGTACATAATAAAGGGAGAATCAAACCCAAATAAACTCAAGTATTCTAAGTAACCATTCAATTTATGGATTTTAACTACACAATGCCGACTATCTAGGAATATATGAGAGATTTAGTGTAGTGATTGAATTAACGAGACATCAGATCAGCAGTCATGCTTGAAGGAATAACATCGTTACGGTGTAGTGAACGACTAGTTTCGATAAAGCGTATCGTTTTGCATTGTATTTAGTACATACACATTTCATTACGCTTTCACAATACAATTGTCTGAGCATATAAAGTTGCTCTTAAAATACAACTAAGACCAATGACTTCACTGTACAATATTTTTATAGTTCATGCTACACTCTCTTAAACCAGTCGAACAACATTCCCAACTGTTGGATCGAACTGGAGAAAAGAGAGTTGAAAACGCTCACGCCAACTCGTCCACCATTTTGGTTTGTTTCTTATTGCAAAACATCTTCAAGTCTCTTCCTACTTAAAGAGTTATTAAGGGTTTCAAAATTTTTTTAACCATTGTTTACATATATTTTTTTTTATCTTTGATAAATAAATCATTCAAAAAGAAGACTAGAGACTACTGTGATTCAAATAACTCTGTAGCTCTCTGCGGATGCGGTACAACTTCCGGTCATTATGTTGTATACTACTGACGCACCAACCATATAATGACATCTGAAAAACTCTAACGAAATGTTTTCTCAGTTTTATAGCATTACAATTAAGATCAGATGACTCAGTAAATTATTAATCATTTAATATTAATTAAATAATAAAATTTTCCTATTTAGAAACGAGATTATTTTGCGATTATTAATAGTTTATGACTTTTTTTCTATTTTATTCAAAGATGTTTTTTATTGTTGCGTCAAGACTTGAACAGTTGCGTTCACTAGCACGAGCGAGGAACAAAGAATGTACATCGGCAGTCTTATGTAAGATTGTGTTTTATATTTGTATTATTGCGGCTATTTTTATAGGATCAGTTTAACGTAAATATAAAAATTATTTTATTTATACTCAAGAGTATGATTTTTTATATAAATTAATTTATTCATGTAACTGAAAAACATTAAATTAATAAATTAAATATTAATAAATATTTCGGGTAGAGGAATATAATATAACTATTTTTAATATAATATTGTGCGTGGCACAATGAGAAAGGTGGAATTCCACAGCGATATACGTTAGTAAAATAATCGATAATCCCCTCGCATACCACATTAAAATTTCATACCTCGTTCTACTATCATTAGTCGACGTCTCTTCTTGATGATTGTTTGCAATAGAATTTTTATTTAATTATCTGACAATTTTCGTCGTGTAGATTACATTTAAACGACGTTACTAATAAAGGTATAATAACAGCTTGGTCATAAATATATTCTCTTACATGGCAATGTAATGTTCATAATCTGTAACGAATATCTATAAAACTTATTAGTGAAAGGCCGTTGCTCATTTTCATACTCAAATTGACTGAGTGAGTCATCGTAACTATGTTTTCTTGTCCTTGAATCATATCACTCGTTGACACGTTTCAACATCCATATTAAATCGTTTTACATTTTTATGACTTATACACCTGCTATATAATTTATTTATTTATCGAATATTTTCACATTCTTTATATCATGCCTATGTATTTATTAAAAAATAAGGCGCAAATAAAAAACGAGACTTGAAAGGATTTTGTAATTACTATATTGTTTAAAAACAAAAAATTACATTCTTATTGGATTAATAACAACGAATTTTGAGTGATAACATAAAAATATTGTTTTTTATTCAATTGTAATCTACTTGCATGATGCATTTTTAAAGCATGATTTAATAATATATAAAGTTGGAACACAATTAATATTTTATTGATCGTTTTGGAAAGTTTGTGATTGGTTTAAACGCTATTAACTTCAATAAATATGGCGAAATAAATTTTAATATTTATTTAGAAAATTTACATTTCATGAATATAATTATTTTTATATTATTATTGTAAATATATGAATTTTGATTAAATATATAGATATAACAATTTTATTATCACATTTTAATTGAGACGAATAAAAGAAAAGTAGTGAATTCCGAATAGATAATATGAAAAAATAATTTATTTAAAGTACGTAAATAGATTAATTGTGGTGGATAATTAAAAAATTATTGTGAAAAAGTGGACTCATCAAATCAAATTGATACAAAAAAACTTGAATAAACAATATAATAATAGCATTCTAATTGTGTATGTTAATTTGTTTGATAAATTTCCATATTGAAAAAATTTTTGTTTTTTTACTATTATTTATCAAATTCCAACAATATATTTTATTCAGAATAACAATTCATTCGAAAATTCATATAATTACTGTAATGAACTATGTGATATTTATCAAATTTGTCAAACTATGGAAAATTAATTCAACAAAAAATAATAATTTACAAAAAACAAATATTTATTGTAACTCAAAAAACTAAAATAACTAAACCACATACATGTATATTGTCATAAATTTATTAAATTCTTACTATTAGTAATTTTAATTTTATATAATGGAGAATAGTTTTTTATTTATAACAAGTTTCTTCTTTCTCTATCTATGATTTTTTTTTCATTTAATTCGTATCTATTTTCTATCGGATAGTGTAGATCAGAAAAAATCCTAGATAATTACACATTATGTAACATTTTTTATAACATGACATTTAATTTCTAGCTGAAAAAGAATGTTGCTTTTCATTGATTATTCGGAAGACAGAATAGGTAAATAGGAATTAACATTTTACTAAATGAAATACTCCTCTAACAAGTAAAATAACCAACTGATTTCAACTTAGTTTCAAATTTATATTCAAATTTAACTCTAAATCCTTTTATAGAACTATCTCAACTAAATCTAGAAATCGGTGTTATCTATACAAAAAATAAATGCATTGAATGACAAAATCTCGAAAGTTTTGTAATATCTTCGAAGAGAGCAAGTTGGAAGTCAGGAATATAGAACATACAAGCATAACAATTTAGGTAAATGCATTGGAATTGCATGTTAGTTCCCACACCCTATGAATCATGAATGCCAGGGAATTGTATTGAAACCAAATTTCCGAACATATTTAGAATGACATGATCAGCAATAATACGTAATTACTTCTCCAATGTACGTTTTTACCCGCAATTGATTGATTGTTAATCCTCTTTCTACCCACAACAGATGTGCCCTTTTCAATTTACTATCTGTAATTTACGTAGATTTTATCTTGTTTACAAGAGGCTTTATCATTTAAAAAAATGAAAATTTACCACTTCTCCAATAATATATAGTCTATAAACAAACCAATAGTTTAAACACTTTTAATTACAATCGATTACTTCAGACAATATTGAACAGTTTTATTTAGACATTAAATTTATGTGAAATAGTGGTGAGGTTAGATACTAATGAGAACTATTTATTAACTTTTTAATAACTAGAATATAAAGTTATGAAATAGTATAGTTAATGAGAACTGAGATAGAATATAATTGCATAGAGATTGAACTTGGTATTAATTATAGAGAGCGGAAAATTTTCTGTAACGTTCAGCCTAGCTAAGCATTATATTCCCAGGATTAAAGTGTGAGAAGAATAATGGCTGATAGTGCATAAAGAGTAAGTGGATCATTAAAAATAGATGAAATTCATCATACTAGTTGATGCTGAGAAAATAAAAGGTTTATCAACGTTATTGGCTAATTTGAACTAAATCGAATTAAACTGAAAAATAATTCAACAAAATTGAAATTGAACATGCTCATATTATAAATCAATATCCGAATAAGCATTTTAATAATCAGTCAAATTTGATTGATCAAAAGCTCATTCCTGGAATTTTATAGAAATTTTTACTAGTCAATCTAGAGTAAAATTTTGTAGCCAAAAAATTAAAAATTACTGTTTTAGTAAAAATAGCTAAAAATTAAGGAAAGAGTATTATTTTGGTTGGTAAAAATTTCTAGAAAAAAATTTATAAATTTCTTAGCTATTTTTACTGAAAAAAACTGGTAATTTTCAAATTTTCTTGGCTACTAAGTTTTACTCTTAATTGAGTAGTAAAAATTCCTCGAAATTTTTTTTCCGTATATGTATTATTCATGATAAGTTTTTCCATTTTAAATCATAAGAATTCTTAAGTTGTTCGTTATTATGCTTTAAATTGGATTTATGATTTCAAATGAGCACACCATTGACTTCCTAGATCATTAAAGTATAATGGGGAAATAAAATGTATCTGGATTATTGATATAGTGATGAATAGTTAACTACTGGTAACCCAAGAACCATCATAAACCAGGAAATCAATGAACGTAGTCATCTAAAATCTTGAAAGTAATCAAGTTCATAAAAATGAATATTCTCAATGTCAACTTGTCATCAACAATTATTAAATAGATATTGACTAATTAATTGAGATAACTGTAACGAAGCATTTATTTTATAACACATTAATCAATCATTGCTACATGTTCTAGAATTTTATTGAGCAAGAATATGCTTTGGAAATAAGAAATTCAATTCTTTTGAAACAATCAACAGTTTCTTAAGGCTGATTGATTTATAATATAAAAATAAATGAACATGTTGATGATAATTATAAATGAATAATTTTTTTTTTTTACAGATTAGCCATGGAACTGTTTTGCAATATTCTATATAAGTTGATAACGTGAATAAGTTCAGTGAACTGAAAGTGAATTTCATCTGAAACCAAATCAAGAAAATGTTAGAGTTGATGTCGGTTATTGTTCTAATTTTTGTGTCGGTGACAAAAGCCACTTTAGATCCTTCAGGTGTTAAGTGTGGTCAAAAGAGATGTTCAACTACAGAGTACTGTAGTCCCTTTGATTCACAGTGTAAACCATGTTCTCTAATTTGTGATTCTGCCAGCCACAACCATCATCCAGAAATTTGTGTTCGAGACTGTCAAGGTAAATTGCATGACCTCAATCTAAAAAATACCTCCAAAGCATTTGGAAGAACAAGAATCTGTCGTTAAGAGATGGGTATCTTTTTCATGTGTGTTTCTGGTGGGATTTGTTGGAGATCTAGAGCTCTATAAGGGTGTTGAACTTTCGGGGAAAAAATCTTTGAGTTTCTTCACATCAGATAATAGAATCTAGGAAAAATAAATAAATGTTTCGAAATTCTAATTTATTCGGTAAGGTAATAAATAAGAACCGGTACTTTTTTACAACATGGAGTAAACTTATTGTAGAAAAAATAGTTTTAAGAAGTGAGAAAAAAACTATTGAGTACAAATAATTCAGTGTTCCTTCTAGCATTACAATATTGATGTATGCATGCATTCAAAATGCGGTTCATGAATGAGAGATGAGGAGGATGCACGTGGGTGTGGTAATCACAAATTTTATACTTGACTTTTTCTTGTGGTGGATGCTCGACGCTGGTTTTTTCTCTGAATTATCATACAATGCCAACTACACAACTTGGCATATTTCATTCATCAAAGAATAAACCGTTAAAAAAACTCTTTTTTGTGATTAAAATACTAACACGTTTCATTATTTACAATTTAAAAAAAATTACCTTATTGCATAATATGATTATTATTCACTCTTTAAAAATATTTTAATTTTTTTTAGTTTTATTGATAAATTATAAGATGGCATCAATAACTAAACAAAAAAGTTTAGGAACTTGAATAAAATCAGTTAGCGAAAAAATTGGAGTTAATAAAAGCTGAATTATTTTTAATTAGTTTTTAATTAAATAAAAAAAAATATTTTAACTTATATTTAAGTTTAGTCGAATTATTTTCATTCAAGTGAAAAATTTTGTTCTTATAAACTATTTTTATTAATTATTAATAATAGTAATTATTATTATACATTTATTTCAAGTCTTTTGTTTTAGTTCATTAATTGTAGAATAAGTCATTTTTTTCATTTATTAACCACAATTTTTCATTATTTAATAAGAAGAATTATCAGCAATTTCTTTAATTATCATGTGACTAATCAATCAACAATTGCTATATAATTATTATTTCATTCATAGTCTGCAACAACTTTATGCAATATTACTATTTATAGTTTTTACGTTTCTATTTACAATTTCCGGATACACTAATGAACCTTAAAGATAAAAAAATTATATTTCATTCAGACTTTTTTTACCTATTCAACAGCAACAATAATAATAGCAATGAATATTATTGTGATTATGTTAAAATGACGATGATTAAATGAATTTTTTCTTACAGTCAGACCCATGAACAAAAACATACGTAATCCTAGATCCACCTGAGTATACTTGTGCACCTGAGTAACCTAAGTATAGTCAGGTCTATACACCTGACGTTTTCTATATAAACCATTCCACACAGTGACTCATCAACTCACTACTTCTTATTCTTTTTTTCTTGCCGTCTGTTTCATTACATCTTCTTGTCCCCTTTTTCTTTTTTCACCTCGAAGGTAATTCAAGAGCGACTTTTTTACCTTGTCAAACTTCAGTAGAGTCAGGTAGAAGCTAAAACCTTTCAATTTCACTTGAAGTCTAGAATAGGATAGAACCAGGAATACCTTTTTATTTGGGTCAAATTAGGATGCCATTAAGTTAAAAGTTGAAAAGAATCATTAAACCATGTATAAACGTATGAATTTCTCCTTTAATGGTGGATGCTTCTTTAAGGCATCAAGACTTGTTATTGATAGAACAATGAATTATTTATTCATGGGACACAATTATTTTTATTTATTGATACATTTTTAGGATAAAATAATTAATTTTTTGAAATATTTTATTACAAATAAAAGTGATAAATGTCAGTGTACACTGAGAAAAATTTCTTATAAAAATTACGGGTCTGTCGCCGGTAAACCGGACATAAGTGACAAGTCGCTATAGAATTTACGAATTGAAGATATAAAAAATACATTTCACATAGTATTTTTTAATATTTATCTAAGAATTTTTACGTAACGTCTTAGAAGTTTTTACTGTACAGCACAGTAAATTTTTTTTGCTGGTAAAATTTCCTGTTGCTTCGAGAAAAATTTACTTGGTCTTCATCAAGATGTCCTAGTACACAAAAGAATTTTTACGGTGCCACATAGTAATTTTTACTGAGCGAAAAAGTAATTTTTCACTCAATTTAGAATTCGATGATGTTCGGGTGTAATCGAGTTGTTTTGGAAATTACGAGTGTTGTGTATAATAAATATTTTTATTACATGATGGTTAACCAAGTCTGTAAGTATAAAATTTCTATCATTTTTATCATTAATTCAATAACGTAATATACACAATATTAATATACCAATGCATGTATGCTAATAACGTTCTGACAATTCATTCAAATTAATAAAAAAAGAATTAGTTATTAAAATTTATATTTATTATTTCACATAAATAAATTTCATTTCCATCGATATATTTTTAATCATTGTTCCAGAGTTGTTATGATGCATATCTTTTTACCTTAGGCAGCATGTTAAGATCTCGGTTAATACTTTGAATACCTAAGTTTTATGACTTTCAAACAAAAAAAAGTTTGTTTTGACAGGGTCAGGCCGATCTCTGCTACACACATGGGATCTTCAAATCGTAGTGCAGTTTGACAAAGAGAATTTTTATATTTTTTGCCTATCCTCTATTGCATTTTCAACTAGAAGATCGTTGTTTTGACAGGTCTAGACCAGTCAGTTATCTGAAAGTCTTCGAAAGAGTAAGATCGTCGGAATTTTTGAAACAGCGAATCATTTATTGTGAGTGTTAGTGTTTACATTATTAATTATTTACTAAAAATTTATTATAAATGATTTGTTGGTGATATATTGGGTTTATTATATGCATTTTTTCTATCAAAATCTGTAGATTACTTAGCTTATCTTTATTAAAAAACATCCGTTCATAGAAGACATGATTCATTAACGTCCTGTTTTTAATACTAAACTTTTTTTGAAAAAAGTATTTTAAAGCTAACGTTTTTTTTATTCTTTATTGAATATATTCGTGATTAATATTCTTTATCTTATTATTTAATCCATTAAAATATAACATAGCACTTTACCTAATTTATATCTATCATATTTAGTCATTTTTTATATCTTGTGATTCTTTTTCCAGTTAACATGGTAAGTTCAGTAAAAAAACCTCTTTGAATTTATTATTTTTTAGCAATTTGAAAACACTTGATATTTCATAAATTTTATTTATAAATAAAGTTAATTTAAATATTTTTTTTATTGCTGTAGGACGTGAATAATCATTTTAAAAGACAGGAAATAATTTCTAATGTAAGTCTATCAATATTTCACTTTGACTTTATTATTATTTTTTGAATACAATAATTATTTAAAACTATTTGCAATTATATATTCTTTTAGCCAGCATATCAAATTTTGCTGAAATCATCAGATGGAAAATCAGTTATAAAATTTTACCGTGACCATAAAACATTAGCAAAGAACGTAAGATGTAAATTAAGCCGTACTCTAGTTGCATGGGAAAAAAATCGGTAGACGGCAGCAATTTTTACTGAAGATGATGTGGAAAGCATGAATAAGTTTCAGTAAGTGAAATATAACTTACTTACATCAATAATAAATCATTATAATTCGTTGATGATCATACTTTGATTTTTTTTTAGCATATCAGCTGAAGTATTCCAGTCTTGGGCCAAAGACATTGAAAAAATATTCCCGGGAGAGTATTGTAACGTATGGTATACGCCATACAGATCCGAACGTAGGGAAGTTATTCAAGCAGATGGCAGTAAAATTACCAAACGTATAAAAATTGATGCAAGTGGAATCTTATACGATCATTACGATTATACTTTAAGAGTATTACGCCAACAAAATCTGGTACAATCAGAAGAACTGCCATCTGATCAAATTGTCCCACTCATTACAGGTATGGATATTTAAAAGAAAAATGTAGCAATTTTTTCCATCTTAATGACGTCATGAATGACTTTATTAATAAATTATCAGATGATTCGCGCAACTCAGCTGAATGGTTACAAACTCATGTCGGCCCACCAGACCTTGTCCAACAACACTGGGACACTTCACGTTCTGTAAGAACTTTGCAGTTAAATCAAGGGACTTCAGTTGTTGAATATTATAATAACTTCCCTGTTCTTAAAAACCAGCTAGGCGCAGATTTGGTAAAATATATTTGATTAACAAAATTGCGTTAATGTGATTATTATCTAATAAGAATATTGGTTCATAATATCAATTGGATTCATCTCGCTGCAAAATTATACAACTATCCAAATATTCCAAGGAAACAAGTAATAGAAATACTTCAGTATGTAAAACATTTGTTAACAAACTTCTTAAATGAAGTTTTTCACGACGATGAAGTATTTTCTTTATTTAATGAAAAAAACATTAATACAGACATATCAAAAAAAACAGTTACAGAAAAGTTGAAAAAAAAAGTCAATGATTATTGTACGCCCGATACAGAGCATACCCTCTTTAGCAAATTCAAAAATATAAGTTACATTGAACCGAAATCATATTTGTTAGGCGAAGTAAAAGAATACAGATCAGTTAACCAATCAATGCAATTAAAGATGAATCCGGTGACTGCTCAATATGTTCCTTTGCATAAAGTTTTTAAGAAATTCTTTGAACTTCCATCAGTACTTGACGAAACGTTGTGCTATATTGAATCATTAAAACAAAACAATTTAATTATTTCGAATTTTATTCAAGGAGAGTTATGGAAAAAATTGAGTGCCGATGATCATAATAAAATCGTTTTTCCATTGTTTTTATACTTTGATGATTACGAGAATAATAACCCTTTAGGCAGTCATCGTGGCATTTCAAAATGCAGCGCATTTTACGTATCTGTTCCTTGCCTTCCTCCAAAGTATCAGGCAAAACTTGAAAATATTTTTTTGTTTGTATTATTTAATACTTTGGATCGTAAATGTTTTGAAAATCCTGTCATCTTTTCAAAAATTCGAGAAGAATTAGAGCATTTAGAAAATGAAGGTGTTAAAATTAATGTTCGAGGTGAAGAAAAAATCTTATTTTTTCGTCTCGCTTTAGTTCTTGGAGATAATTTAGGAATTCATTACGTATTGGGATTTACAGAAAGTTTGGTACATTCAAAGTTCTGTCGATTTTGCTTAATAAATAAATCTAATATAAATAATATATTTATCGAAAATGAATGTGAATTACGTAATGAATCTAATTATGAAGAAGCTTTGATCATAAATGATTCTAAGCAGACGGGTATTGTATCCAAATGTTTATTGAAAGGTATTGGAGGTTTTCACCCTATGAAAAATATATATGTCGATGTAGTTCATGATGCATTAGAAGGATTTTGTAGGTATGATTTGGGTCTTATTTTCAAATACTACATAAAAAAAAATTATTTTCCCTAACAACATTGAATAACTCTATAAAAAGTTTTAACTATGGTCCAGTGAGGAATAAACCACCAGAGATAATGGAAAGCCAAATAAAAGAAGAACAAATTATCTTGCATGCATCAGAAATGTTGGTATTGATAAGATTTTTACCTCTTATTATTGGACATTTGGTCCCAGAAAATGATGAAATTTGGGAATTAGTTTTATTGTTACGTGCAATCATTAATATTCTTACTAGTTATGACCTTAATTATGATATGCATTTAGTATTATCTTTCAAAATAAAAGAATATTTGAATTTATTAATTAAATTTTTTCTGGATTCAATGAAGCCAAAACATCATCTTCTGGTGCACTATCCTCGAGTTTTACAGTCGTGTGGACCTTTGTGGAAAATATCAACAATGCGATTTGAAGCAAAACATAGAGAAGGTAAAATAATCTCTCGTGCTTCAATAAGTAGAGTAAATGTATGTAAAACTATTGCCATCAGGCATCAACTTTGTCAGAGTTACAGATTTTTAATGAAACGATCTTTAAAAGACATTTTTATGATATAAAATCAATAAAAAAAATCTCAGCACATCATTTAATAGAATATAGAACTATTTGCCCATTATTACCTCAATTTATAAAAAATTCAGACGATATAGTTAAAACAACTAATAAAATAGAAATAGGAGGTGAAGAATTGAAAAGTGATTCTGTCATTGTTATTCCAGGTGAAGAAGGCCCTAATTTTTATGTCCTGAAAGAAATTATTATAGAAAATGAATTAAGATTTTATCTCATTGTAAAAAAATTATTAGAAGTATTTTTAGACGAACATACAGAATGTTATTTAGTATGTAGTAACAATTATTCGTTTGAAGTATTAGATAGTAACCAAATATATAATTTTCATCAAACAAGTATTGTAGAAACCCCAAATAAAAAACGATTAATAATTAAGATATAGTAATTAAGATTTTTTAGACGTATTTATGTTTGTAAAAAATGTATGAAAAAAAATTTCTAATTAAAAGATAAAAATGTAACAAAAAAATTATTAGACATTATTGATTCAATTTTCATTCCTAACTTTTTTATGACTACTTTATTGATCTTTTTTTTATAAAAATATTTATTAATAAAAAAAAAAAAATAAGCAACATAAATTTTACGGTACCACACCGAATTTTTTACTTGTACTGTAGACTGAAATTTTACGGTGCCACAACGAAATTTTTACTTTTTGCCGTGGAAGTAACTTTTACGGTGCCACAGCGTATTTTTTTCGTGGGCTTATAGTACTTTTTCCTTTGCCTGTCACTTATGTCCGCATTACGAGAAAGCACCGTAATTTTTTCTTAAATTTATCATAAAAATTATAAGAATTTTTTCTCAGTGTATTTTCATTAATATTATTAAAAGTAAATTTTAATTTGTTTATCAATTGAAACATTCGTGAACTTTAGTAGATTATGAATGAATTAATTTTTTTTAATTGACCATGAAATGTATTTAATTTTTTTTTGTATTTTACCTAAGCCATTATAACTTGTTGAAAGATTGACACTTTATTTAATTATTTTTTATACATTCTATATAAATATTCTACATTTATTAATTAATGAATCTCGTTTGATTGAATGATATCGAATTTTTGATACCCATAATATTTAAGTGCTTTTCTAAGACAGATTTCACAATATTCGAACAACTATCTGTTCATTTTTGTTTCAATAAACTCTCTTCCTTTAAGCGAATAAAAATATCAGTGCTCTGCAGTGGTCTGGGTGCGACCCGAAAGGTCCACACGACCAACTTCCCAGTGGAAAAAATGAAAAAACACCCCGAGTAGAACCCGTTTCTATTCTCTATAACAAATGGAATTGTTATAAACGAAATGAGTGTGTTTTTATTCATTTGATATGGTTAGTTACTTCATTTCAGTAAAAGAAAAAATTATGCGTTAGAAGAATTCGAATATACCTCATAGATCCTTTTTTTCATTATTTACAACAAATTTAAAACTTTTTATTTAAATATTACCATGATTAATAATCATTTGTCATTAACAATGTTCAAATATTATGAACACAATTCCATATTATCAACAATCATTATTGAGTATTAGCGTCTTAAATGCAGTTTTCTCAATCCTGACACGAGTTTAAAATTCTTTCATTGCTGATTTTGTTTTTTAAAATTGTTTTTTTTGATGAAATATTGTCATCATATTTTCTTACAAGTATTTTGATCATTTAATATTCATATTTTTTAAAAGATTTTGAAATTTTGTCTAAAAAATGGTATAATTTATAAATTGCAAAATTCAGGTCGTTTTCCATTTTTGCCAGTTTTTTGATTCTGCATAAGAAACTACTGTACCGATTTTGTTGAAAACCTAATCAGTTCTAAGTTGCGCAATTACGTGTCAAATGCAGTTAGTTCCACGTCGATATCATTTTTTGTTCTCGAGATAATCGAGGCGAAAAATAATTTCGAACGCACATACGTACATACACACACACAGAGGTCCACTGGAAAACGATCGTCTTCGACTCTGGGGACCTCAAAACGTGGATGTCAAAATGCAGGATTCGCAAAATCGGACCCATTACTATAACTTCCCACTGGAAAGTTAAAAATGAATGCGTTAAAAAATACTGAGAAATGTTTTATTTAAAGATTAAGAAAGAGTTGTTTTTTACCTTTCGTTTTATAAAACAAAATATAGAAATTTTGATTGGTACGATTTATGATCTCACCTCTTGTCTAAAATGAATTATACTTATGATTCAGGTAGCTAGCGTTATCGAAATGCTAACGATTCATAAAATAAAACTAGTTAACCCACTTATATTCACAGAATGAGAAACGGACTGAGATAAAAATTTTTGATGTCAGAAATGTTCTCAGGATGGAAAAAAACTTAAAAAATGAAATTATTACCATAAAATTTAATTTCTTTACCACTTTTTATAGATAAAAAACAGAAAAATTAAAATTCTTAAAAATATTATCGATTAATAAAATCCAAATAATTCTTTTCACTATATTTTTAAAATTTTATTAATCAGAAGATTTAACTTTTGAACAAAGACAAGTTGATACTTAACATTTTCTTTGTAACCTTTAAAACATTCATGAGATCAATAAAATTTTTTTTCAACCATTTTAAATGAAAATCAATCTATCTGAAAATATCTGTCAAATATTTTTCATTAAAAAATGATAATTAAATAAAAAGTTCCGGATTTTTACCTCACCAGAGAAAACTTTTTTTGTTAATTTTCTTGAAAGTTTTAAAAAATAAGTTTGTTATATTCTGAAGGCGTAATTTTTATTTCATAAAAAAGACATTTAATTTGCATATGATGTCATACTATTGATTCTGTATGTTAACGAATGGTAAATGAATTGAGATAAAATTATTGATAATCGACAACATTGTCATCAAGACATATTAATATTATTAATCTATTCATTGCCTTTCTATCAAAAGCTCGATTAGATAAACCATTTTTGCTTTTAATTAGAATAACTTCACCACCTATTCAAAGTTATTGTGATTCTATCTCTTCCTGAATCGCTTTTTAAATTTCTCTTGGTCTCATTTGCTCAAGAAAGATAAATATGAGCGCTGTTTCTTTGGAAAATTGTATACAAAATTGAGTGTATATATTTCTTGTCTTATGCAAGTCATACGAAAACAAGTATGAACTTAACACGAAGGTCCCATGTGTTCTCGACAATACAGGACTTAAAGGAAAGTTAACGACGATTACTATTGTTTGCCACAAGTTGCTATCACGACCTAACTTCTCAATTATCGACGCCTGCGCCATTAATACATGACACAGCTT